ACACAGCACGAGGCACAGCCTAGTGTTGGCAATGAAGACTGGTAAGAGCCCCGAAGGGAAGGTGAACCTCAAGAAATAAGAATCAACCAGGCTGGCGTGGCTCAGAGATTGAGCATCGACCTATGAACCAGGAGGCCACAGTTCGATTCCCGGTCAGGGCACATGCCCGGGTTGTGGGCTCGATCCCCAGTGTGGGGCATGCAGGAGGCAGCCGATCCATGATTCTCTCTCCTCATTGATGTTTCTGTCTCTCTCTCCCTCTCCCTTCCTCTCTGAAATCAGTAAAAATATATTTTAAAAAAAGAAATAAGAGTCAGCAGGCTGGTAGGGTGAAGCCACCCATCACCACTTGGAGGTTCTCCCTCCGAAGCCCACCCACACGTTGGCAGATCTGGATACGCTGTCATTCAGGGATTTAGTACGTTTTCTTCTTTCAGCTTTTTCCCAAATCCTCTAATAACAACAGAACAACTGGGAGGACCCACAGACTGTATCCAATATTTGAGGATAAACTCACAGCTCCACATAAGCCGCTGTCTACTCGGATGGTGCACCCACCACATAACTCTTGCAGTCACAGGGCCTCTTTTCAAATAGGCGGACAATCTCCCCCCCCCCCCTGCCCATCATATGTACACAGTCTGGTCTTGGGAGTTAGAGAGGGGGCTCAGCTGATGTTGAGTGAAAGGAAGCAGACAGAAAAGGGCTGCCCACAGTTGGATTCTCTCTCTCCCCCTCTCCCTCTCTGTTCCTCTCTCTCTCTCCCTCCCTCTTCATTCACTGGTACCTCGCCACCATGCTGTGAGGAAGGCCAGGCCACTGGCATGTCCTGTGGCTGATGGGTCCAGATGAGAGCCCCAGATGAGTGAGGGAGTGGGTGAGCTTTCTGGTTAACTGCACCCCTGCCTGAGAGACCCTGAGCGACCGCCTTGCCTTGCTGGGTCCCACTCACACCCAGAACTCTGAGAAATAATAAGAAAATGGTCACCGGCCCCTGCGGGCATCTTTGAGGACAGAGGTTCGAAGGTCATCACAGGGACCCCGAGGGCGGAATTACCTCTGAAATCCTTGCATTCCTCGTCCACTCACACACACATACAGGCGACCGCATGCACACGCTAACACAAGGGATCCTGCTACACGCAGAGGGACAGTGAGTGAGCACTTTAGAGCCGGAGTTGGCTTTTACAACCCTTTCTGCTGACCAGACACAAGCATTTCAACACCAACGAGTCAGACCTCTTGGATCAGCTCCTCAAGTCTTTCTGTTACCCTGACTTCCGTCCACGAAGAAGTTTTCCCTGACCTTTAAAAACACTATGTCCAGGCCTCGGCCTCAGCTGATTCCCACCCAGAAGGGCTGCCCAGGGCAACCACCCACCGCACCCAAAACTCCGCACACGCTGCTGCCCGCCGCGGCCTTCAC